ACCGACTTGACCTAACCTAGTTTTCGTATCGTTGACATGATTCAGAACTTCAACTTATTATATCGAATATGATGAAATCATTGAAAAAAAACTTGAGAATATGGAGTCAGTGCAAGTTGCGCAACATTTTCGATGTACTCGAATATATGTGAGAAAATTCTATCAACACCCCTATCGCTACCCTAAAAAACAATATTACTGTCATCTCCAACCATAAAAAACTACAGTCCACTTTACTGTGGAATTGAAGATCGCCCAGAAAAGGAAAACATACGAAGAAAGGAAACGAAGCGAAAATTTTCAGGTGACTGCGATATACCTTCGATTGATTGGGTCATTATTGCATATTCATAAAACAATTTAATTTGAGATTTTCACTAAACAGTTTTACAAAAACGTAACACTTATTTCGCCATGCAATAGCTGGATCGGGCGTATAGTCACGCCCGAATTCCAATATTTCAAGTGTCCAATGAACATTTTTGGTCCTTCGAGCCGGATTGGCTAGGTAATGATTGTTTTTATCGGATGTGATAAAGCATTGAGTAGAAATAGATAAATTCAAAGCTATTCAAAATTAATGAAGCAAATCAGAAATCAAATATATCAAAATTCATTATCTAGGCTTAGAGGGCTCTACGAATTTCGTAGTTCTATCTAATTCAATATTCATAATCGAAAGCAGTAGTTTCGAATGAATCTTTTTCCACTTTGGATCTGGAAGAAACTACTTTACACGCTGTGTATGGCATATGTTCGGATCAGGAAAAAGAAAATGTAATTGAACAGAAAAGGGGTATTAACTACAATATTATCTGAGAAATGAAAAGTTTTTCATTTGCTACCTAAAAGTATCCATTGGGAGCAACTTCTAGAGGTGTCAGAGGATTTGAATCGCTGAAGATTAAATTCATTTGGAAAAACGTTTTCGATGAGTTTATTCCACATAAACGTAGTTTTCCAAATGCAACAGTTCTAGAACAATCCGTCGCGTATTTATGTATCGCTCTTGGTGGAATCAAATGTACCAAGTCACTTGGTACATTTGATTCCACCACGTGTAAGTATCTATAGACGAGAGACAAATCTCCAACCTTGCTTCGCTATTCTAGACTATCAAAGTTGGAAGTGATGTTCGTGTCTCCAATCAGGTGGATGGCTTTTTTCTGGAATCCAGCAGGTTCAGGGTTTGCTTAGGGGCGGAGCTCCAACATGTGAACAATAGTCCAAGGAAGGTCTGATCTGAGTTTTATAAAGCATCAAAAGTTGCTGAGGATTGTACAGTTTGCTGGTTCGGAACAGTGTTTCAAGCTTTTGGGGAGAAGCCTTTGCAATTCCAGCGATATTATTGTGCCAAGACATATTGATGTCCATTGGTGTCCAACAAACTCCTCGAAGCAGAAAGAGGAATTGTCTATCCTGACACTATTATATCCGATTCGGAAATATTCATCTTCCTGGAGAAAACCGATGGAGTTTTCGTGGCATAAAATTGAACCTGGTTACTTCCACGCCAATTCGAAATCAACTTTGAATCCTCATTAAAATATGCAGCCTCCTGCTACCGGTGAAGATGTGCATCCGCAGCCGATGTCCTGGAATCCAAATGGAATGACGAGACAAGTGTGCTGACATATTGGATTCTTGGTTCGTTCCAATAAATCGTTGATATACAAAAAATAGAGGGTTGGAGACAATATTTCTCTCTGAGGAACACCAGCGTTGATGGTGAAAGTTTTCAAGAGATATCCATCGATAGTCAATTGTAGGGAACGTTCTTTCAGAAAGCTGGAGAGCCATACACAAAAATGATATGACAAACCATAGCATACAAGTTTGGCCAGCAAACCCTCCTGTCAAACACACTCAAAGGCTTCCAAATATGGGTGACATACGATATTAGGTCGCCTGTTGATCTTTGTTTCCGAAAGCCATATTGATGGTCGCTCAAGATGTTGAAGCCTTCCAAAAATTCCTCTCATCTATATGAGAACAAAAGCTTTTCACGAACAGAGTCACGATTAGAGAGAACAGAATCCACGCCAGTGGGCGTTTCGTTTGTTACTGCGGCAGACATCATCAGTGGTATAATCGTGATTTCGAGATATAACCTTTGTCCTCGCAGTCAGTAGCAAACGAAAAGTTTGATACTTTGAGTATCACGGCCTACCAGCTCGTGTTATTCAAATCATCGATCAGTATATAAATTTTCAGTACTTTTTTTGATAGGATCAAAGCTATCAAGAATAATTTTAGAGATAACCTGAAGACGATGATTTTTGATGAATATCTTACCTGGAAAAGGAATTTTGTGAGGTCTCGATTTGAACCGTTGAAACGCCTTCGAAGCTGAAACGTTCAGAGCAATTCTGATTCCTTCCGTCAATGTTTGGATATCTTCTTTGTGGGTGAAATAATTTGGATTTATGTCTGGATACACCGAAGGATCTCTGGATTTGAGCTTGATCCTGCCAGT